AATAGTCTCGTTGTAATTGACCCAATCTTTCTCGAACACGTTCGGCCTCCGCTGAAACCAGATGTGCATCCGTACGTCCGGCTTGGTACTGAGCTAATTCCTGACGCAGTGCTTGATTTTCGCAGGACAGGCGTTCACTTCGTACTCTCATATTTGCATCTTCCGCATCACGACTGTCCAATTCTTGTTGAAGTTGTGCATTTTTCAATTCTAAATCTTCACGCTCTTGTACTTTGTTACGTAACAGCAATTCCAGTTGTTGCAAAGCCTCTTTCAGATTCTCATTTTCCACGCGTAAACGTTTCAACTCAAATTGCGCGTTTTCGGTCTGAATACGCAAGGCAGTATGAGTTTCCACCTGTTTTTGTAGAGTGGCTTTGTTCTGCAAAAGACTATCAATTTGAATTGCTTTAAAATCTAAATCACTCTTCATTTGGCTGTATTCTTTTTTCAGAGTTGTATATTCATGAACTAGATTTTCCGCACGTTTCTTCAAGTTGGCATGTTTTCGGCTCAACAATAAAATCGCCTTTTGCAACGTATCAGTTTGCAACTGCAAATTGCGTCTTTGCAGCATAAGAATTTGTAACATTCGAGTCAATTTTAGGCGACGTTGTTTGTCTAAGCTGATGGATCTTCCGCGTTTCAATTCGATCTCTTTCAACTCTTTCATGGATTGTAATAATTTGCGCATAAACGCTTCCATTACATTTTGCTTCACTTGCAAATTCTTCAAGCGTGACGAACTAATCGCTTTGCACAAAGCATCCATGTCAATCTCTTCGGTATCGCCGGAACGGCCTGGCTTAGAATCTGCACTACGAGGACGGCGTCGAATTTTCGTGCTCGTCCCGGCTTTGGTTGATGAGTTGGTTGTGGTTGGTCGAGTCAAAGCATAACCGGGAGGCGCACGATAGAACTGCTCCTCGGTCGATTTTAATTGTGCGTTCATGTTTGCGAGTGCTTTGTGACTCACGGTGATCAGTAAAATCCCTTTGAAACTAGCCGGGCATGATTTATTCTTGACGCATTCTTCTTCAACCCTGTTTTGAACGCAACTATTGATTGCACACTGACGAACGTATAGCTCACATGAGTTGGTTCCTGAATTGAACTAGAAATCACGTGACCAGTGGATTTGGATTGTGGTGCAGCTCAATTCATGTACGATAAACTACGGTAATTACCTGAAATGTACTTAATCAATGTTATTTTTTGCGATGTTCTCGCCAGTGGACAGAATCACACCAAATGATTCGAACAAGGAATGATTTGACAATCTGGTTCACTTCAACAATCTAGAGTTTTCAATTAGAAAACAGTTAATTATTTTAGCTTGGCTTTCTCATACGAGAACCAGTTGATATCAAACCGACTAAAAGGATTTTGACCCAAAATACCGAGTCACCTTTGTGGTTATTTTATTTGAAAAATGGAATGCAGCTAAATAAACTGAAGTAATAATAATAATATTCTTATTGCTCATAATGCGTGGGTTAAACGAGTCCATTTCTATTATAAATATTTATATTGCTACAGGATAGAAGGGGCGAAGCTTATTTCCTTATAGACAGCAAAAGAAACGTAAACAGAGAAGTTAGGAATCACTTCTGTGTAACAGGTTTGACTTGATCTGGTATTATCGGCAATTATACAAATTGTTGCTTAGCAGATTGAATTTTTTTTATGTCGAGATCGGGAAAAGTTCGGTGAGATTCGAACCCATGCTAATGCTAATCGATGGATAAATCAAAGGTGTTTACAGATCGAATGCGAGCATATTCCCCACTGGTCTACCGTGTAGCTGATCAGATTGTTTCATTTTTCATGCATTTGAGAACACAAACCATATTTTCGTTATGCAATCAAATAACTGATTCAACCACTTTATAAAAATCAAAGATGGAAATAGAGAAAGAGAAAATGGTAACATAATGGCAGGAAAAGAAACACAAAAGCGCAAATTAGCTGAAGATCAACATAAGTGCTTTTCGGTGGTATAAACACTGTGTGCACACTTGTTAGGCAATCGAGCAATGGTAGCAAGCTGTCAGATTTGGATTTCGATCAAGTAATAACCCCAGGAGATATATGCTTAGATTGGTGAGGTGAGATGACCACAACAAGCCATGGACTAGGGATTTAGCTAAACTGTTTATAAATAAAGGGACATAATCACATAAGTTGCTCAGTAGTCAAGTTGGTAGAATGTTACTTCTTGCATTTGAATTTCCAGGCCTGATCCCCAGCCGGTTTACACTGGGGTAGGAACTCACAAGGTCGAAGCCACTGTAAATGGCTTTCCAACTTTCTAGTTCATACTGCCCATGTTTTCTTCAGCTCAAACAGGAGTGATGACATTAACAAGACCCCATTTCCGTATCTGCGTGGGTAGTTTGTATACCTACACCAAGATTTTCAATTAAAACAGCCAGTTTGCCTTAAATGTACAAAATGGAGTAGGTCAAGACTACATATGAATATTGCCTCCAAATGCCTCAGTATGGTCGGGAGTGAGTGTCTTGGGCTCCAAAATGATCATTCGTCCCAAACTCCTCTAGAAATGCTCTCAAACAACCAAGCGCCTTAAATAGCTTCAAATAGCCTCAAATAGCTACTGCCTTGTCGTGGCGGAAGTGTTAAAACTACAATGAGAAGGCCCGGTGCTTTCCAACGGCTTGACTGACCACTGATAGTCAGTCTAGAGGAGTTGGCTAAGCCCTGATTCCGAACCACCCACACTTAGCGTAAGAAGCTCATAGTGGTACCAATCTTTGGCGCAACGAAACCTGTCTCCAAACTTAACCTTTGGAGTTGACCACTGTGATGATCACCAGCAAGTGCACTGCTCAAGGGCAGTCTGGGTACCCTGGGTACCCTGGGTAGTTAGCCGCATCCGAAAGGCGCATTAAGTGCCCCCCCCCCAGTCACCGGCTCACGGAGAATCGTGGACTTCCTATTCCACTCCACTGCGTTGTGGGTCAAGTTGTTTAACCAAAGACTCTGGGTAGGGTCCCCCAACAAAACCCTTTACCTCGGCCTGGGCAACCGGGTAGTACCACGCTCACAAGCTAACCATGGATCTATGAACGTACACATTCACGCACGTCACAGAATATTACACTTCTGTAAAGTTTTCTCTTAAAATCTGCACGCAACACTTCCACTCGCCCCC